TTTTTTTTTTTTTAAACACCCGTCTGGGTGCTAGGGGTGCTGATAAAAGCAGACACCGCTAGCACCGTAGGGGGGTGCTCCATCCTTGAGTTGCTAGACACCTTGAGATATCATCGTGAAACTGACCGGCCCCAGGTAATTGAGGAATTTTGTTCATCTGGTTCCATCTGGATTCGAACTCAGGTCCACATTTCAACAGTTTATGGGTGTCCCAACTGAGCTAAGCCCGTTGGTACCTCTAGCCACTTCACTTGTATGTTTGCTTAACATTTTGAATTGGTGCTTTTTCCACTTCTCCCTGCCATCCTCCAACAACTGGCTGGCATATCCCTCCTTGTTGGGAAGAACTCATCCTCTCCATGCTTTCCTCTCCCAGCAGATAGTACCCAATGGTCTCGCCTAACATTTCCTGTTGCCCCTTCTACATCCTTACATCATATTTTCTAGCTGTGGCAATCAGCCCAATTACAAAGGTTTCCCCAATCCTTCTGTCCTAAGTCCACTCTTTCATAATTGTGATTTCCACAATGTCTTTCCCTTCTGGCTGTGCTCTGATCATCTCTCTCTCTCTTTTTTTTTCTTTTTTTCTTTTTTTAAGCTCTGATCTATTAGTGTGGAGCAGCACGTGCTAGGAACCAGGCCCAGCGTCCCTTATGAAATGTACATCTATGAACATGAAACCATCAGGACATAACCGCTGTGCTGGAAACCGGGTCCAGCATCCCATATCAGCCCTTCCCTTCCTTTCCTAACCCATGGCCTGGCCGGGTATCCCTTGCCCCTGCCAACCTCCTGCTATCCTCATGCTGTCCTCGTCTCATCGTGTGCTGAGAGATGGGCTCAGCATCCCTCTTGAGAAAAACAGTTGTTGAAGAAAACTTAAACTACTTGAAGGAAGGTCATTCAGTGTCCCTTGAAGGCGGATTTTTAACAACTAGAAGGTACTTCCACAAGTGATAAACGGGGGGGGGGGGGGGGGGGGAAAGGTCCGGGAAGTCTGTCGCTGGTCTCAGGGGGATGCCAGGATCTATCGCAGTCCAGTCCCGAAAGGACAGCTTATAGTTTCTGGGCACCTCTCCCCCTGCCTCCCCACCCTCACCGTGGGGGTTGTCCCCTGACCATGATACATCTGCCATCCAGCCCCCCTTCTTCCCCCGAACCATTCTTCGCAGAAGCGTGTGATAATTTTAGAATTGTCCTTCCTGGTATGCACAAAGCTCATTCGCTGTCTGGTTGTCTGCCACTGTTTAGTGATCTCTGCTTGTACCAGTTGCCTAACCACCTCTGTTACCTCCCCGTCCACCACCCGTGCTCCCTTGATTTCCAGGATGCATCTTCTCCACCATATCACCCAAGGAACAGTTTGTCTGCCCACCCGAAAGAGATTTCTGGTCAGACAGTGGCCCGTTAGCAGCGCCTTCCAGTCCCATGGCCAGCCATACCGGGGTCCGCCTACCGCCATATCCTGTCCCACCATCGCCACAATAGCACTGACGAAGGGCACTGCAGAAAGAGGTGCTCGATTGTCTCAATCCTTTTTCGCGATGGGTAGCTCCACAGACATTTTGTGCACCAAGGCAGCACTCGTCCCTGCTGCTCCAGCCTGGTGTGGTCGATCAGCCAGTCGTTAGTCGGAAGGCATCGGTGGCCCACCTGCCACTGCAGTGACGAGATCTTCGCCGGCAACAATTTCGATTCGTGAAACCATTGGATGGGGTGCAGGATACTCCGATCAACGTTGAGATGGCGTTGCCACCTGTCACAGATCGTGCCCCGCAGCTCTATTTTGGGTCTCAGCATACGGTAAGCCGTTTTGACCTTCATGTCAGCAAAGCTCAAAGGCCGTTGTGCAGTCCTTGCTCTCCTTCCCTCCCCTACCCCCCTCCTCCCGGGTTCCACTGCCATTCCTCGGGTTCAATGGGCAGATCCGCTATTGACGTCATCGGCCAAAAGGCCCTCTGTTGTCCCCCGATCTGCATGACCTAATACGAAATACGTCACTCTTGCGGACCCAGAAGAAAGGTTGCCTACTCCATATCAGGATGTCCGCCCTCCCCAACGTATACCACCCACCATGTCCACCATCCCAACCGAACCCGGGTCCCTAGGGAGTCCCACCTAGTCTCCTCTCTTCAATATTGGGCCCTTTTTAGAATAGAGTACCATGCCAGCAGGAAGCTTTCAATCAATTCCCCCCAAACCTCTTCCGTACGATGGCAGTACCACAGCCATTGCCTCATCCTATCAGCGCTTTTCCACTCCCAGGCCTTTGCGTCCCACAGGTCCCCCACCCGTAGTGCCCCATGCTTGACCCACCCTCTCCATGGGGAGTCCGTGTTGCACCTAACCTGGCCATGTTTGTCTGTGATCCATCTGTTTCCGAACAGCGGCTGTCTGGAAACCTCCTCCCACCGGTCGGGGGGCGGCCTGTCCGGGATTGGCAGTTTCCTCCATGTGTTGAGTAGGTGCACCCAGAATTCCTCTGCGACCCTGCCGTCCCTGCGTAGCCTGGGGATTTTCCAATATCTGTCCTCAAATCCAGGTCAAGGGGTCTATCTCTGGGGGTGCCTTGGGGGCAAGGGCTGCAATCTGCATCAGCGCCAACGGGCACCAAGCTGAGCTTGGGTTAAAAATCGGGATCTTAACCCAGCGCAGGCTAAGCGCCTGGACCTGCGTAGATTGGTCAATGATACCCAGCCCTCCTTTAGTTTTTGGCTGGATTATCAAGTCTCATGCCACCCTGCTTTTTGCATGGGGGGATTCGTTCTCCCCCCTCCAGAGGAAGGCTGCGATTTGCCTCTTTAAGGCACAAATTCCTAGCTTGCTCAGGGGCCACAAAATTGACTTGTACCACAAGGAGGCCAGGACAACATTATTGATGACCAGCACGCGTCCAAAAATCAAAGTGTGCCTCCCTTTCCAATTCAATTGTGTTGACCTTGCTGGGGCAGCTGTCCAATCATCATTTGACTCAGTCTTGCCCTTTACCAACAAGGATGCACCTAGGACCCGCAGTGGGGCATTGGGGGGCAGCCATGTAATCTGTGGCCTTCTAGGTGACCTACCACCGTAACCACCCTGATGATGGAGCCACCACCCCACTGTTTTTTTGCCATTTTCAGGCCCTCATAAGATCAACCTGCCCTGAAACTCAGGCACCAGACCAGGGTTTTAGCACAGGCCAATTTGGGCCTGTTTTCAAGACAACCCTTGGTTGAGCTTCAGCGCCAGGGTGTGGCACATTTTGGCATCGGCAAGAGCAGCCTCCTGGACGGGCCAGCACTATATAGGACTGGCTCGCCCTGCAGGCTGCAGGTAGTTCCTAGGTACTTCCCAGGCACTTCACGTGCAGTTCAGCAGGCAGGAGGTTGTCTTCAGGATTCGGCAGCAGCACTCTGGAGGAACGCTGCAGGAGTAGTAGCAGCGCTAGCAGTAGTCTTCAGCGCTGGGCGCTAGTAGCGTTAGCAGTAGTCTTCAGCGCTGGGCGCTATCAGGAGCTAGTGTAGTACTAGAGAGAGAGAGATTGGGCGGAGGCCAGGGAGACTTATCGAGGTACCTGCAGCACGGCGCCATCTTCACAGGTTAGTACCTGGCATCTGAGAGAGAGAGAGAGAGAGTTCTTCTTCTTCCTCTTCTCAGTCCACCATCTCCCTCTCACCCTCTCGCTACCTGACTTCACTGCATCAGCAGACTATGAGAGAGCGGGCTAGGTGACATTGGATTCAGACTCAACATTGGGCTTCAGACATTTGACGAGGGATTATCTGGGACTTGTAACGAAGACTTGGTGTTGACGACATTCCCATCTTCCCCCCTCCACTTCTTCGTCTGTTTCCCTTCTCTTCGTCTGTGCATGATCTGGACCTGGCGAATTCTTCCTGTGTGTAGCGCCAGCCCCCCTTCACACCTTGTGACAAGGAT